CAGCGCGTTGTGACCACCAAGGTGGCTTTCGTATAGTAACAGGCGGCCAACTCGTGCACTAAACTCCCCAGCAAGGACAACGACATCCGACTTTCTAGCAGTAATCAAGAGCCGATGTAGATCTCGGTAGAATTCATCCTTAACCGAGCCGCCACTGCGGTCAGTTGGAGCGTACACGGAGATTACAAGCAGCCTGCATCTCTTCGCGGCGCTTGTTGATTCTGCATGAACCCCGGAGCCGAACTGCACATAGTCGGCTATTAATCGGGAACCAGTCCAGTAGTGCCGCCTAGGCCTTGCCGCTTAGTGCTATTCCTACACCATCCAAACCCGCTGAGGTTGCTTCTATATCTCTAGAAAGACGCAGGTGCTATCCGGCTTCGTAGTCAGTGGGGGACGTCAATGTAAGCACAGTGTTGGGTTCTTGAAATTGGATTTCCGAACGGCAGCAGACATCAATATCTAAGTACTCTAGCGTGCGCGCTAGACTGACTTGCTGGCGAATCTACATGAGTGTCTGAATGTTGAAGCACGCCAGACGGAACGAGGATCGGGTGCGAAGGAGTGCCATAATTTGAACTCCATGGTTCGCGGCGCAACCGGAATTGCAGCCAGATTGTTGAACACTAACCGAATAATGGAAAGTGGGGATTGTTAGCAAACAAACATTTGGCGTGTGATGAAGTCGCGTGGATGTGAGAAGCAGCAACGGTAGCTGATGAGTATGTTGTAGTACAGTCCATGGTTTTGTGAGAGAGCGTGATACTACCTGGTTGCCAAAGCCGAAGTAGGGAGTTGACTTAGGGGACTCCACCCCGAGCCTTTGGCTAAATAACCTATCTGCAAGGCGGTGAGGCGCGTTCAGGGAATCGCGCCCATTGGGAGGCGCTGACTGGAAGTTCAGTTCATGCGTCTTTCGTTTGGTAGATCACCAAACAGGGGCCAAATACTCCCCGTGAAATCAGCACAATTGCTTTACTACCATGCCCACCGAGGTGGAACACTGTCGCCTAACATTTCTTTGGAACGGGGTACACCCGAACCACGCAGCTAACACCACGTGGAGGTAGTTCGACAAGCCAACCTTCTCGTTGGTGATCTTCTTGGGAAGACAGTCCCCGATGTGATATACACCGAACGGTACCAAGTCCCCAATGGGGAGAAGGGCACATTTGTCACGGTTAACTGGGAGTTGCCACTTGACGGACCAATCAGCAGCAGGTCAAGTGATGCATGTAGACTGTCGGCATCACCAAAGCTGAATACTTCTGACCACAGTTTAAAGTCATCTGCATAGATTAGGCAGTCAACTTCCAGTGTCGCAGGGAGGTCGTTAATGTAGATTTTGAAAAGTTCGGACTTGATGACGGAGACTTAGGGAACGCCGCTAGTCATAGGCAAAGGGGCAGAAAGAGTCTGATTCACTCACTCGAATGGTCCGGGCTAGGACTCCACAGGCATCGATGTGGCTCCTCATCTAGACATCATCATCATCATCATCATCCTCATCATCATCATCATCACCACCACCATCATCATCATCATCATTGTACACCTTATCTGCGGGTGAAAAACACTTCAGCTGTTGTGCCGCAATACAGAAGACAAGACAAAACAAGTGACACGCTGGCTGAGTCCACAGTAGCGGTTGGACATCGTTCCGGAGAGCTAAAAGCCGGCTATCGTGCCGTAAAAATAGAGTTATGTTATGCCTAACGAATAAGATCGTGATTTAGGGGGAATCTAAAGGGGAGGGGGTGGGCGAAGAAACTCATCACACATGCCATTGGGACCGGTTCCTAGCCATATATGAGAAGTTTGTTCAACCAAACGTCTTTCTCGTCCTTAGGACCCCAACCAAGCAGTCGGGATGCACCAACCGACGCCAACTTCAAAGTAATGGTTTTCCTTTTTCTCGATTGTCATCGCTTTGCATCCCCTTCTCTTCCAACCGCACCTCGGCGCGCAAATAATACACGTCGCGGGAATCGATGTGCTTGCATGCGCAACACGTGGCCCAGCCATCGGAACCTGGTGCGTGATATAATAGTGCTGAGCGGTTCACTCGCTCTTCCTGCACCAAATACGCGGTGACGAACACGCTCATTCTTTACGCGATGCTTTAACCAGACATGAGCTAAGTTTCGGGGGCAGCGATGATCGAACGTGGCTAACCCCTTTATGTCTGTTTACCTGGTGCGCCAGGTTTCACAACCGTATGACAGAGTTAAGCGGACGGTTGCATTATAAACTCTGTGCTTCAATGCGAGAGTGATGTCGTGTCTGCGCCACAGATAGCGGAGATTGGCAAAGGCACCTCGAGCTTTTGCTAAAGGGTTCATAATCTCAGCTTCGATCCCACGGACGCTAATATAGCTGCCCAGATACTTGAATTCCTGACCGAATTCTAGCTGATCATCACCAAGGGTCAGCGAAGGAGTGGGTCCCTGCCAATATTAGAGAACTTTTCTTTTCGATGGAGCAAAGCATAGCCCAAATTGATCGACAGTGTTAATCGGTCCAGTGCAGCGTGGCACGTTTGGGCGCTGTCACGTATGAGGGCAGTGTCGTTCGCATAACTCCGAGTCAAGAAGCCGCTCACCACGACGTAGCTCCACACCTTATAGGTCGTGTCCTGCGAACGCTGCTTCCATGCCTTCATCAATAGCGAAATTAATGGGGAAAGGTGACAGCAGGCAGTTTTGTCTCACACCGCTGGACATATTGAAGGGCGACTACAGTTTGCCGTAAACCCTCACTCTGCCTGACCCATGCGCGTGCAGCGCTTTGATAATGTTTACATATTTATCGGGCACACCTTTTCTCAACAGACAGTCTCAAGGTGCATATCGATCCGTTGAATCGAAAACACCTTTGATGTCGAGAAACACGTTAACTGCAGGTGGAAAGCACCTCAGCCATTGTGCCGCGCCTCATATATACAATACTCTCCACAACATCCAGTGTCTTACTACCAAGATCGAGTGCAGGTACCGACATCCTGAAATCTTTCAACTGGGCTTTGCGCTTGGGTGGGGAAAAAACCATCCCATACTTTGACGCTTCAATCGCTAAGCGGTTAGGTGCAAGTGGGAGGGCCTTTGGGCCATCACCCAGTAAGACGATATCATCAGCTTGTACCAAGTAAACAACTCGACTACCTGTGAGGAGTTTAACACTAGCACCAAAAGTTTCTTCCAGTGTGAAGAAACGGTTCCATCCGCTTGGGGCGAGTCAGTTATAGTCCCGATCTTCAAGAAAGTTGCCCGTACTCTATGCGCCAACCACCGAGGAATTAGTGCAATGTCCCTTGCTTCCAAGCTGTTGAAGTCTATTCTACTCCGTAGACTAACCTCGATTCTAGAATTGCTCTTCCGTGAAGAACAGGCTGGTTTCCGTCCCAACCGAGGGTGCATAGACCACTTGTTTACGCTCCACCAACTTCTTAAAACGCGCCATCTTTACCGCCAGTCCACTCTCGTTATGTTTCTGGACTTCCGAGCCACTTTCGACTCCGCCGATCGGCCAGCTTTATGGAGTTGCTTACAAAGGAATAGACTATCCGAAAAGTATATCACCATCCTTCGAGCGTTATATTGCAATGTCTCAGGTAAAGTGAAGGCTTACGGTAAGCTCCCTTCACCTTTGCTGTCACTAGCAGTGTACGACATGGTTATGCCATGTTCACGTTTCTCTTCAATTTCGCGATCGAGGATGTCCTTTTAAACCCTTTCGGGTACTTTAAGGGTTCTGGGGTGGAGCTTCTTCCCAGCAACCGCGTGACCGGTTAAGATCATGCTAATGATATTACCTTGCTTGGTGATGACCTACAGAACACACAGGCTGTTCTAAATCGCTTGGCTATTGAAGCATCAAAACGTGACCTAACCTGTGCCCCTACATAGAGCAAACTTTTGGTGCTGGATTGGCATCCATCTGCCCCAGTGCTCATTCTGCAAGGCACGCAGCTTGAACAAGTGGACAACTTTACCTGAGAAGTTATGTCTGCTGGCGGTAGCATTAGGAGAGAGATTTCCCTTCGGATTGCCAAAGCCCGTTCACCAACTTGAGGCATCTGTGACGATGCCGAGACGTTTCACTATTGGTAAGGGGCGGGACGTACAATGCCTGTTTTTGCGCGGTGTTGCTGTATGGGAGTGAGTCCTGGCCGATTCATGTAAATGCGTTGCGTCGGATTTCGGCCTTTGACAAATGATGTCCGTGGAGAATAGCTCGAGTGGGGTGGATGGACCACATTTGCAACGACGATGTTAGACGTCACGTCTTGGGTAACACGAGACTTCCATTTGACAGACTGGTGCCGTTGCGACAACTGAGATGGCTGGACCGCGTTTTACTCATGCCATGCTAGCGGCTGCTCCGACGCGCTCTCTTTGATCAACACAGGATCAGGCTGGAAGAAATCGCGCGGTTGTCTACCATATCACGTGGCGACAAACAATTAAAGCGCCGACTTTCGGTTTTGCTGTCGTAGGTCCCTTGTGTCTTCCGGGCTGGGGAATCAAAGATGAAGAACATCGCTGGCTGGAAACTGTTTCGGAGATAGCACAGAACCGAACCCAGTGGAAATTGTGTCCGAATATTTATCTTGATTTCCTTGATCGACTACATCACAAACATTAAACAGACGAAAAAGACAAAACGGAGTGTAGAAAAAACAAAAAAACAAATTTCAATAACTAGTATTCTGTAACTTTCATCCCTAGTTCTATGTATTGTGTATGGTTATTACTTCCATTTTACGGTTTTAGCTTGGTACCTGCCTATTTAATAGACTGCTGTTTACATATATATATATATATATATATATATATATACATATATATATATATATATATATATATATATATATATATATATAGGCGTATTACCTGTTTTCCTCAGTTTTTACTACATCACAAAAGTTGAAGTGTTTCCCATCTTCAGCCAACGAATGTTACTATTGATGATGTTGGGGACTAACCCAGTGTTCCTTTTTAGATTCATCAAGCCCGCGGATCACCTTGTCAATTCCTGAGTTAATGATCTCAAGTGGAAGGATTCATGGGATTATCCTCTCGTTCCACTCCCGCCTGAAATTGAACGCTTTCTGCGATCCACCCTCCCTACTTTTTGTTTTTGCAATCTGTCTCTAGTTTGGTTGTCTATGGACTCATGCAAGTAACGGATTACAAAGTGATTGCACCATTGGATCAGGAAGTTAAAGTATGTTAACCTTGACACTAACCACTCTGCTGTGTGGTTCTCTTTACTCACACTTGTCAAGTTTTGTGATGCTTCATTTATTATTCATTGCTTGTCTTTTTCTATGTTTGAACGTTGTTCAGGGTAACCGGATTCTGAATGTTTCTAGAATCAGAACATAAGTTACATGTAATGTTTCTGGGAGCATTAGACTTAACTTCCTCAATCAGCTCATCTTCCGATATTGGATTTTTGGCGCTTCTCTCCGCATAATGGTATGTCAGCCTGATAGAGCGGACTGCTCTACTGCACGCGATTGTAGAGTTTTAAAAGTGCAGCCTTGTACACCGTGGCTGGCTTTACTCATGTTCTCGGCCCTTACATGGCGCTGTTATTTTATTATTCGGCCTAGTTACCCGCTCATTCACTGTCTAGACATTTCAATTATAACTCATAAGTAGTGGGGATTTGCGTGTAGTTTAGAAAACGTTCACCACAGTCACTACTCAGCAGTAGCATCAGACGGCCGTTTCGACCTTCTGGGTCTCATTGTGGTGCGCGTTTTTTGGTCTGCCGGTTCACGACCCCATGGTTCCCGGATGTTGACAGTTTAGGCCACTAAGCCATGGGTGACGACGGCGGATCTGCATGACTGACAGTTAACAATGATGTAACGCGGGTTATCCTCTACTATCATGTCAGTTACTTATTGCCTGGCGCCGGTAGTCTCTTGGCCAGCGCATGCTTAGTTGCTGACCTAACGGTGCCCGACCCAGTTCATCTAATATCTGCCATGCCACGTCCCGTTCATGCTTTAGGTGGAGTCTGCGACCGGACGATTCTCCCTTTCGTTCGATGTTGGTGCAGCTCTTCTAGTACATTTAATCTTACCATGCGCTTATGGAATCTAAGTTATCTGTCTGTTCTCTGTGCGCGATTGTTTGGATGTCTCGAAGGCATTTACGCTGTTCTTACTTTCGAATTGCGCTCACCTTTCGCTGCGCTGTTACTCTCTTTGGGTCGGACACTGCCATATAAGCACTATAAAGTAGACTGTTACGTAGCACTGCACACTTGCCATGTCTTTTATGCTATCCTTAGCTTATGCGCGACCGGTAATGATTGCGTGGCAGCGACTAGCCCAATCCTCTAGAGCTTTCTAATATTCTTATAGTAGTACAAAGCTTTGCCAGGTCAGCTGCGCCTGGGGATAAATTCATCAGATCAGACTTTTGAAGGTAAATATGGCCGCAGGAGCAGATAGAATCCCTCTAGCTCTCTTCAAATTCGGGGGGCCTGCTCTTGTATATCATCTGCACAACTTTCTTGTTAAACTGTGGGAGCATGAAACTGTCCGGTCAGTCTGGTGCCGCTCGATAATAGTCCCAATTCTCAAGGGACGTTCACCTTCTTAATGCGGCAACCGTAGATGAATCAGTCTGATCTCAGTTGCTTCTAAGATATTCGCCTCTGTCCTTTTTCATAGACTTGTTGGCTCATGTGAAAGCCAGATTCACAAGGAGCAAGCCGCGTTTTGTCGAAATCGTGGCTGTATTGATCACACCTTCACACTACGTCAATTTTGGAACACCGCCATATTTATCGGCGAGTCACCGTAGTCGTGTTCCTCGACATCAAAGATGTCTTCGATTCGGTTGATCGATGTGCTTTTTGGAACTCTCTGCTGAGGAAGGATGTGCCCGAGCATGCTTAAATGTCATAAGAGCACTGTACGCGCAGAGTGAAGGCTTACGGCAAGCTGGCGCCGTTTTTCAGTATCTCAAGCGGTGTAAGGCAATGATTTTCACTGTCACCTTACCTTTTTAATTTCCCCATCGACATGATCATAGAAACTGCGCTCACTGGACACGACGCACAAGGCGTGGAGATGCTCCCAGGTGAATGACATCTTGATTTGGCGTACGCCAACAATGTTACCGTTATCTGTGACGGCTTTCAAACGTGCCAAGTAACACTGGACCACTAACACTGGCTGTCGGTCGTATTGGGCTATGCTTTGCACCCTCGAAATGCGAACTGTTTCTCCAAGTTTGGCACGGACCCACTCCTTCGCTGACACTTGATGGGGACCAACTAGTAGTCGGGAAATTCAAGTTATATCAACGCTAATGGGACGGAAGATTAGATCACAAAAGGCATCAGCAGTTCGCCTGGTATGCAGTACCGACGCTTCGCTATCAAGTAACCATCGCCGCTCGCACTTGGGCTAAAGATACTGCGAGGGTCACCCTGCCCCTACGCAGGCTCGAACCTGCCCCGTAAGATTACGAGACAACCTTGTTACCTTGACTACGGGTTGGCAAATCTGATCGCAAACCGCATATCAAAAGCACGATGTGCATCTGTGGAGCAGGCGCGATATAATTCTCGCCCTGAAGAGCAGAGTTTACGATGCATATGTTTGTTCAACCCCACTGTATGGTTGCAAAACCTGGCCCATCAAGTCGATAGACATAAAGAGGCTAGTTTATTTCGATCATCGATACCTTAGCTTAGCTTAGCTGATGTCTGGTGGGAGCACGGCGTAAACAATTAGCGTGTTCGGCGTCTCCTATATGGTGCAGGAAGAGCTAGTGAGCCACTCAGCACCATTATATCACGCACCAGATTTTGATGGCTAGGCCACAGTTACGCATGCCAGCACACCGACTCCCGCGACATGCGTTGTTTGCGGGCCGGGGTCTGGATTGAAGAAGAGGTACGGTGGCCTAGCGATGACGGTCAAGCGGCATTAAATCCGTCACTTCGCATTTGTTGTCGATCGGTGTGTCCCGACTACCTTGCTGGGATCCGAAGGACGGTGTGCACGTTAGGTTGTATACACTAGTTGACATGACAAGGAGCCCACTTCATTGGCGTTTGTGTTGTAAGTTTCTTTGTCGCTCCTCATCCTGCTTATTTCCCCCCTCCAATCTCAATATCCCTCTTGACGCATAATATGTTACTAAGTACTCTGTCGCATTTCAGCATCTCGCTTTTTTCGTTTGTTTTATCTTTTTATATTTCGGCGCAGTAATTGAAGTGTATTATTCATCTTCAGCTAATGTGTAATGATGGTGGTGAGTGGCTGCATCGGCTACCAAAAGATATGGTTAATGTCCTATATGCTACTGCAGGCACCGTGTCTCATGCTGAGCGTGAGATTGCATCCTGCTTCTTCACTACAGTTAGGCCACACAGACTTGTACGTAAGCTGGATCTTAATCTGGATATAAAGTACCCCACTTTATTTCGTTTGCTCAGCTTTGTTATTCTGCTGCATATTTGACGGAATTAGGTTTCTCGCCGGCCACTGATCGCCCTTCTCCATGGGCTGTCCCTTTGGATCCCCCCTCTCGCTCAGAAGTCGAACGTGAGATGGGACTGTTGAAGTTGAACAAAGCCGCGGGACCAGATGATCTTCCTCCAGCTCTCTTCAAATTCGGAGGCTCTGCTCTTCTTGATGCTTTGCATGAATTACTAGTGAAACTGTGGAAGCAGGAGACTGTCCCAACCGACTGGAGCCGCTCCGTTATGGTTCCCATCTTCAAAGGCGGCTCGCGCTCAGAATGCGGCAACCATAGAGGAATCAGTCTTATCTCCATCGCCTCCAAATTACTCGCCTCCATAATTCTTCACACTGTCTGGCGCTCGTGAAAGCCAGATTCGTGAGGAGCAAGTCGGGTTTCGTCGTGGTCGCGGCTGCATCGACGACATTTTCACCTTGCGTCAGTTGTTGGAGCACCGTCACACATATTGACGGCTCACCGTAGTCGTGTTCTTCGACATCAAAGGTATCTTCGATTCGGTTGATCAATGCGCCCTTTGGAATTGTTTACTCAGGAAAGGTGTGCCCGAGAAATATGTATATATTATCCGAGCATTATATGCGCGTAGCACCTGCGGAGTGAGGGCTTACAGCAAGCTGTCGTCACCCTTCAGTATCTCCAGCGGTGTGAGACAAAGATGCCCGCTGTCACCTTTCCTCTTCAACTTCGCTATTGACGAAGCCATGGAGATTGCATTTACAGGACATGACTTGGGAGGTGTGGAGCTACTCTCAGGAGAACGACTTCTTGACTTGGAGTATGCAGACGACATTGTCCTCATCTGTGACAGCTCCCAGACGTGCCAAGCCGCGCTGGACAGATTAGCACTGGCTGTCAGCCGCTTCGGGCTTTGCTTCACACCATCGAAGTGCAAAGCGTTCCTCCAAGATTGGTCTGGACCGCCTCCTACGCTGACCCTTGTTGGGGATCAGCTAGAAGTAGTTCAAGAATTCAACTACCTGGGAAGTTGTATCAGCGCCCGTGGGATTGAAGATGAGATCACGAATCGTATAACAAAAGCTCGGGGCGCTTTTGCTAACCTTCGCCACTTATGGCGCCGGCGCGACATCACTCTTGCCCTGAAGGGTAGAGTATACAATGCAGTCATACGTTTGACCTTGCTGTACGGTTATGAAACCTGGCCCCTTAAAGTAACGGACCTGAAGAGGCTAGTTACGCTCGACCATCGGTGTCTTCGCAATTTAGCTCACATCTGGTGGGAACACCGCGTGAGCAACGAGCGTGTTCGACGCCTTGTTTAAGGCACAGAATAACGAACTGAACCGCTCAGCACCGTTATTTCACGCACCAGGCTCCGATGGCTCGGCCACGTGTTACGCATGCCAGCCAACCGACTTCCGCAACGTGCGTTGTTTGCTCATCAGGGATGTGGATGGAAGAAGAGGAGTGGTGACTAAGCACTGACTTGGTCGAGAGAAATGAAGGCCCTCACTTCTGAGCTGACCTCGGTTGAAGCGTCTCGGCTCCCTGGTTGGGGTCCGAAAGACGAGGAACACGTTTGGTTGGACCCACTTGCTGATATGGCTAGGAGCCGACCTCAGTGGCGTTCGTGCTGTGAGTTTCTTTGTCCCACCCCGTCTCTCTTAGCCTCCCCCTCCAACCACGATATCATTATTTAACCTTATATAATTTGTCATAGTAATTATTTTTGATGCATAGCAGCCGGCTGGT